GCAGATGACAGGCACAACTATAGAGCACTGGTAGCGGCTCTAGAACTCAGGTACAGAACCCTAAATCAGTCAGAAGTCTACAGGGCTAGGCTTAGGGCGAGATTCCGTGCTAAAGGGGAGAGCCTACAAGAGCTGGCACAGGACTTGGAAAGCATGGCACACAAGGCCTACCCAACTGCACCACCCGATCTCCTCAAGTTGTTGTTGAGGGATCACTTCATAGATGCCTTGGACACTCCACAACTTAAGATATAAGTGAAGCAAGCACACCCCTCGGCCATGCAGGATGCAATGGCCAGAGCTCTAGAATTTGAATCCTATGTTAAGTCCAGCACAGAGGTACCAAGGTTGGTACAGTCATCTGGATTCAAGGCCAGGAAAGGTCAGCTTTCAGAGAGGTTTGAGAGACTTTGCTGGCACTGTAACAAACCAGGGCACAAGAGAGCTCATTGCTGGCAACTTCATCACAGGGAAGATGATATAGCAGGAAAGGCTGCTACCCAGAAAGGCTGTTGGAACTGTGAAAGCACGGACATTTGAGGAGCCAATGTAGGAGGAGTATTACCAACAAGTCAGCCTCAAGGAGACCAGTAGTGGATGGTGTTGAGGGACACTCACCAACCCCCATCATGAGAGTCCCTACAGCTAGGTGTAAAATGCCAAGCACACACAGCATCTATGTGACAGGAAAGCTGGATGGCCAAAGGTGCAACTTTGTCATAGATTCTGCATCTCAGCAAACCCTTGTGAGCATCAAGGTGTTAGATCACGAAGGAGTACCAGAAGCCATACAGAAGCTTTGTGATGTGACAGGACATTCTGCAAGGTTGTGTGTAGCTATTAAGCTCATGGGCATAAAGGACAGACACAAAGTATACTGGGCTGACATTGAAGACCCATGCATACTACGGTTGGGCTACTTACTACCGAGGAAGTGTGTAGTAAATGTTCATAAAATGATGCTTGGGATCAACAAATGCCAAATTCTGGTAAGTGTTAAAAGAGAGGTTGAACTAACTAGGTGCCATCAAGCTGAAGTCAAAGTGACTGAAGGAGTTGATGATGGTAGAGTGGAACCAGGTATAGATATTAAAGCAGAGCAGGAGAAAGATCAAGATTTGAAACCAATGACTGATTTTCTAAAAGAAAGTGTTTTGCACCTTGCTTGGGAGAAGGTGTCTAGCTTAAGCCCTGTGACAAAGAATTATTGGGCACAATGGGACCAGTTGAAGCTTGAAGATGGTATTCTTCTCCGGAGATGGGAAACTGACGACCTGGCAAACGATTATACCGAGAAAGTTACGGGAAGTTGTACTGCGTCAATCCCATGAGAGTTCAACAGGATGACATC